AAGGGAGTGAAGGACAAACTACAGTTCAAGACGCAGCCCGAAGAATATGAGATTATCTATTCAAAAGGCGACGTAGTTGCTCTCAAGCACAATTACAAGAAGTTTATCAGTCCTTTCTTCCTTGCAGTTCTTTTAAAAGATCTCCACCATAACAGTGACGCATTCCTGGAAGATCACATGGGTTTCAGATGGCTGGAACAGTCAGAAGGATATCCCCTTGTATACCAGACTGGGCACCGTGACGATAGAAATTCACCCAAGTGTATCATCGGGAAAGTTCAAATAATAAAGATGGAAACAACTTCTGTTTGAGCTGCCTTGAAGAGCAACGCATTGCATTAATATTGCTCCAGGGGTCAGTTGAATCAAATGAGTCACCAGCGTCAGGTGGTGACGAAGAGAAAGGGGAGCAAGCTAAGGTGGACAACTTTTCAGGGCCAATTAGATTTGAAGCTGGAAGGCGTAGGTCTGGAAGACCTACAACCAGATATGTCCGCTGACAATCTACAGTGGTTATTAAGCCAGGAAAAGCCATTAATGGGCTTGACACAGAAAAGCGGTTAAACTGTAGAACCTGTGGCTCGCATCATTTAATTTTTCTACTTCATGTAAAGCAGGTATTTTGCTATTGGTAATTGATCGTGATCCTCACCGTAACACACAGAGTGAAAGAGGAAATTCACATGAGACTACACTCTAATAACATCAACAGGGATAGCAGAATAGAAAGTCCAGAAGCTTGGTTGCCTTTAATCAAGAAACACAGCAATAGGAAATCCGTACGACAGTGGACCAGTGAGGCAAAAGCTCATACAAACAGGGACACCCAACGAGAATATAGTTCAAAACCACTTAAACGTAGCATTGTTAAACGGTAGATATATAGGCATATTTTTATCCCCTAAACGTTTTTCATCTGTTCGGATTTCCTAGCTGAAAGTCTAGTGATCCGAAAATTATAGGGATCAAAACTTACCTTTTCGAAAATTTCAGCCAGAAAAAAGTCTCCCGAAAATTCTAGGGGACCTTTTTAGGGTAAAAATCCGTTAAAAATGGGCAATTATACCATTTTTTAGATGTTCGAAAATCCTAGGAGAGGCAGGCAAGCAAAAAATTTTACAACAAATATTTTCCGAAAACTGACGTTGGGTGCTCCTGATACAAACAACTGAGTAAGAAATGCACCAATCTCAGCGGCTAATTATCGACCAACCAGAACCAGAGCTTGAAGTCATATAAGTTCACGTGTGACTAGGCGACGAAGAGTAGCAAGTCAAGGTCTTTAAAGTGTCGCTTTTTCTAATGAACACTTGAAGTACGCGGTTGAAACGTCGCGATCTACATCATTAAGTGACTGAATCACGAGACAAACGACTACACTTTATTAACATCAATATTGTAGACCAGTAACACGGCCGACGTGAAATTTTTGGTTGCAAGAGTCTCTTTGGAAATAAAACATCTGTGACCCACACCGATCGGACGTTGATTAACTGGACAAGTTATCCGAGCAAGCAGATGTTCGTACGGGACAGGAATTGGAAAGCTAGAGGAAGACCTTAGTTCAGAAGTACCTTACAGTGACGTTAACTCAACCGGGAACCAACCAGTGTTAGCTGTGTTTGCTGTTTGACTAAAAATGTATTTATTCGAATTTTGAATACAATGCTTTCTTGTGATTGGCTTATAAACCTCTGGGTGGCCTTGCTCGTATAAGCAACACTGAGAATAAACCTTGTAAATACTCTTGATGAACGTTACATCTGAAAAAATCAAGATTCCGTCGCAAGGTCTTTCAAGATGTACGATACTTAAAGGGAAGTGGACTACTTTTAATGTATAAATTAACAATAACTTACATTCTGTATCTTACTAAAGCTCCCGTTTAAGAAAATGAGGTTTTATCATTTGTCTAGTATCGCCAAACATTATGTTTAAAGTGTTTTAAATAGAATAATGCACAAAAAGAGGTTGACTCATATTGTCTTTAAAGCTCTCTGACTGACAGAACCTACATCTTGCACTAAAAATTAAAAAGCTAATGTTTTTCTCATCAGCCCATTTGAGCATTTTCTATATAAACGAAGTTGTCTCCGTTAAAATTTTGTGTAAAAACACGGATGGGGTCAATTTTTTTATCAGGGCTCAGGGTTCAAAATTTTGGGGAAAATGGGGCTCGGGGATCAAAATAACGGCAAGAAAATAGGGATCAATGGGTCCCGGATATACCATGTTACGACCCTGCTACATGTAAGGTGGACCTATAACAAGGGGGCTTAAAAGTGGAGGGGACTTATAAGCGGAAGTTTGAGAACCCAAACAAACCAGTTACCCTGTATTAAGACAGAACCTTTCAAAGCAAGTTGTATAAAGTAATTTTAAGTGTTCTTTAGCTTTTTAATTGTTGCATTTTATTTATTTCTTGTAAAAATGGCTATGTATTTGTACCTTTATAATAATAGATTTATAGAAAGATTTAATGAAAGTTAGGCTACAAAAATTTAATACACAACCTTTGGTAACTGATGGTGTCAGCCATTTAAATTTCGCCACTTGCATTTCCTTTTTTGCGTTTTTTTTCATTTTGTTGAACTCATTTGTTTTGTTCCTCTCCAGGATGGCAATAAAGAATGCTTGCCAGATGTTGATGATCTTGGGAATTGACACAAGGAGTGTTTATGAAGAGGACTTTGAGAAACCTTTCTTGACAGAATCTGCGGAATTTTACAAAGTAAGAATATATGCTAGACGTGTATTAATCTAATGTGAAAAAATTAACAGTTCTTCTGGCAGTCAAGTATCTTTGGTACGTTGAAGCTGTGGTTCAAAAGGTTAATAAGGCATATAAGGCATATAGGCCTTATGTTGTGCTCAAATTAAATTTTCTACTGCACATTCTTAGAGATGTAGTGCAGATCAAAGTGCAAATATAGGGTTTTCATTAAGAATGTTTTTAAGAGTTTTAGTAACAGGAGAAAGGTGTAACGTTACAGGAGAATATTTTGAAAGAGGCTCTTCAACTAAAAAAAAATAGTCGTATGCTATTGAACGTTAGCCAGAGAATACTGTGTAGTTAAAGGAGAATTCTCCGATCTCCGATGCCTAATGAACTCCCTAAATATTGTTGTTCAATTTTGCTATTGGTTTAACTTCTATTTACTTTGTTTTAAACTCATTATCATTCATGACCAAACATTTTAGACAAAATTGGACGTAAACAGTGTAGTGTACTTGTTGCTTTGCTATATCAAAAGGTGTGCTTGCCAAAGTGACAGCAAGTTTGTTGATTAACACATTCATGATCTTCCTTTTAAGACGTTCTTCTTATTGTCAATGAAAGAAACTTATAGTTTAAATTGTTGTTTATTGACTTCACTGGGTTTGTTTGTGTTAACAGTTAGAGGGTCAGAAGTTTGTCGCAGAATGCAGCTCATCAGTATATATACAGAAGGTTTGTTAGTCTCAATAATTATTTGAATGAGCAAAAATTAAATGTAGTTATTTGAACTTTCAATATCCATCTTACAGGTGGAAGCTAGAATTGATGAGGAGTCAAAGAGGGCCAAGCATTACCTTGATCCTACAACTGAAGAGCCCATTCTTAGGGTAAAAATAAATATTTTGTTTCTAGACAGAATGAAATATTCCCTTTCTTAGTGCCAGTGGCAGTTCATTTGATCAACAGTTATGTAAAATAATGTTATATAAAATATTTTGTTTGATGAAAATAATGTCCTTGGCTACATGATGCTGAAGTAGAGCATTCAGTATGTTGATCATAGCTTCAGTCTCAGAGAAAAATAGTTGGGACACTTCCAGCGAACAATGTTTTTCTCACTTCTAGTTGATCTCCTCGTCCTCCCAATGTTGTTTATTGCAGTTAACTCACCAAATCTTCTTCACCAACATTGGAAGGGCAAGAAGGCAGTTTTAACTTAAAAGTGTCCGAACAATTTTGACTGAGGCTGCAGTAGTGTGTAACAATAACTGCAATTGTTGGTAACAATACTTCCATTAGCAACAAACTTTCTGTAAGTTGCTTTTAGCCACTTAATGTAGCCACTTAATGGATGCAAAGGCCACATGTCAAACCAGTTAGTCATCTGACTATTTTTCTCAATATTTCACAAAATGGAAGAAAAAAATTGTCTGTCAAACCACTAACTTCAAAAGAATTTACCTGTAATGGGATAATTATCAATTTTGTCAGAAATGTAGAACAGTGCTGTAAGTAAGTTTGTTTCATGCAGGTTGTTGAAGAGGAATTAATCAACAAGCAAATGAAGACATTAGTTGAAATGGGGAATTCCGGTGTTATTTACACACTCAAGCACATAGTAGGAGGTTTGTTTAAAAGCTTTTCTTTCAGGAATAATAGGGACCTTAAGCAATGAGAACGTTAACATCCCGGACGTCAAAAATGGCAACCGGAAGTTGATATTTCCTCTCTTTCAAGGCTCTGACTAGACAAATTCGTACAGCAGGAGTTAAAACAAAGGCATTCAGATTTGTTGTGTGAGACGAAAGTGTTCCATCAAGCGAGACATCGAACTTCCGGTTAACACAATTTCAAAATAATTGGCACTATTTCATTATAATTTAGCCATAAATACAAGAAAAACAATACAAGTCAAACAAAGAGTTAAGCACCCCTGGAGTCACTCTGAGGCTAGGCCTCAGTTCATTGATGAACAGCATTTCGTAAACGAGGCAGTCAAATATCCCGTGGCATTTCTTGAGAATACTAAATTGACGCTCATTGAGAAGATTTTTGTCACGGTCCGCTACTAAAGTATGTTTACCGATAGCACAGGTAGCCCAAGCTTGGCTTCCTAACAGGCATGAAACGCAGTCAACACACAAATAAAATAAGAAAATGCAAAATGCAAGCTTCAAAGGATATTGAATTTAATGCATCTTTCGCTCAATTATGGCGAAGTAGGTTAATTCTCATACAACGTCTTATAATTGTTGCCGTATTAATTAGCTAAGTAGGGCTCTTATAGTGAGCTTGGGCGACCTCTGCCAATAGCTGAATACTTGTGTTCCGCAATGCGTTGATGAAGGTGTCGGGCTGTGTAGACAGCATAATCTGCATCACACAGATCACATGCAAATTTATAAACAACGTATTGCTGACTTACAATACACGGTTTAATTTCTTTAGGCTTAAGATCTTGCTCCAATTTTTTGCTCACAAAAATAGGCTGTAAAGTGACGGCAATCTTTTTGCTGAGATCACGCAATTGCCTGCGGACTGCATTAGCGGTTATCTGATCTTTGAAGGAAAGAACTATTCTGATCGTGTTGCCATGATCGATTTTCTTTTCTGACTTAGTTGTAATATTCTGAATAAACATATTAACCGTAAAATTCATGAGGCCAATTGGATAATCAAGTCGGCAGAAGATAGAGCTTAACTTGGCACATTCCTCATTGAATGCTTCTGTCGTAGATAACAGGGCATGGGCGAGATGTAACATGGTCTTCAATAAACCAACTTTGTAACGTTTGTCTACATGGCTATGAAAATGCAAGAATAGACCAGTGTTGGTTGGCTTTCTGTAAACACGGGTTTCAAGTTTGTTCCATTCTTAATTATCTCAATTCCAATGAAAGGCATCATATTTGCGTTCGAGGTACGATAACGCAACCCCTAATTTGTGTTGGGTGTTCTCTGCATTATTGGGTGTTCTGTGCAATTAATAAGGGAGGTTTTTTTGAGATTGCATTTTTGTCGTCGACACAATTGCCTCGCTTTGAGGCGCTTGCTTACGTTTTGCCTCACTTTGACGCGCTAACTCATGTGGTGATTCTTGTGTCCTCGGCATTCATCTGTCAAAGGTTTACTGAGGTCTGATATTCTGTCTTCGTAAAGCGTTCATCATCAAGTTTGATGAATCTTCGTAAAGCCTACATCGATCTGTGTTTGCTGAATCGTCTAAGGCGTTCATCTTTCAGAAGTTTGCTGTTAAATTTTACTTTGGACTAAGCCTTCATATTTTTCAGCGTGCTTCGTCACTGTCTTTGGAAACTGTCTGCAACTCCTGGTGCATGCATCAAACCGGGTTTAGTTCGGCGGCTGTTGTGCCACAAAGTAAATTTACCGAGTTTTGTAGCTCGGTGGTCGGTGTGTCACCAAGTAAAATTACCGATTTGTGTAGCTCGGCGGCCGTTGTGACACAAAGTATAGCTACCGAGTTGTGTAGCTCGGCAGCCGTTGAGCCACAAAGTATATCTACCGAGATGTGAAGCTCGGCGGCGCCATTTGATCATGACTTGTGATATTTTCGGCACGCGGACAAACGAACACTTTAACTCTGTTATTTATTAGGAAAAACTTATAAACCATCCCACAGTAGCGCCACTCTCGGGTCACTGAAATCAGCACGCTCGACCAAATTACTGGAAAAGTTATTGACGTGAGCCGCACACACATTCCATTGAAGGCTTTGACAGGGTTAGTGCGAAGTTTGAATTCAGATGTGAAAGCTTTTAAAACAGTAAATTCAATGTAATTCATTTTGTCAACAAGTTGATGATTGGATGCTCTTAAAAATAACAGAGAAAATTATCGGAAGAAATGTTTTTGAAGAAAGAAAAAGAATCCCGGGTTAAGCACTAATCGGCCTTTGAGCAACTGCGCCCTGTAACTCGCTCCAGTGAAACAAAATGTTCTATTTACAAGAACGACGCACTCTGGCCAATGTCTCCTCCGATTACAAGCACGTGACACCGAACCATACGATATCTTTTGAAACCTTTCTTATAATGATTCACAGTTTAATTAGAGGTTTCGCTGCACGAAACCCTTACTTTCAAAATATGCCATGATCATATTTATCTATATCGCAACCACCCTTCCGCCTTAACTGCTACCTGTACGCCTAACAAACATATCGAACGCACTCTCCTAAGCTCCGATTACTCCTAGTATCAGCAGGAAGTTCCATTGTAAACTTCAGGCTCGGATGTAGACCATTCAATGTAGTCAGAAAATCAGCAGCGGCATCGGTGCTAGGCATTCTAGCAAGAGTATCGTCGACATACCTCTTATACAGAGAGGGCACCATTCCATCTCGTGTGAGCTTCTCTTCGAGGTGGCACATAAACACGTTGGCCATTAGCGGGCCAAGAGGAGAGCCCATCGCTACACCGTCAGTCTGCTCATACAAATGACCTTCGAACTGAAAAAGCTGATTGGTAGTGGCAACTTCAAGGAGCTGTGCAAGTTCCTCTTCCTCAAGATTAAGATCATAGGTTTGATTAATCCAGTCGTCGGTAAAGGCTTTGTCGACCAGGACCCAGTTGCTCGAAGCATGGTTAGCGTTAACCAGCGTTTAATACCTTGACAACGTATTGGTTTTGATACTGCTTAACCAATGGTTAAAGCTAACCATGCTTTGAGCAACTCAGCCCAGGATGTTAACAGTCTCACTTAAAGGTACATCAGCAAAAAGGGCCGTCACTTCAAAGGAGACCAGCGTGTCTTCATCATTCATAGGAATGGAACGAATCTCATCAGCAAATTCAAACGCATCAGTAATCGTGTACTTGTTCACAGAAAGTGGTTTCAATTTTTCTTCAAGTCATTTATCCAGTTTAAAGTTGCAAGTTCCAGTAACCTGAGATCAGGCTCTATTTTCGTTTCGCTTTGTAAATAACATTCCGGCGGGCATGGCGAAACAAAAAGAGAGCCTGATACAAACCTTCTACGAAACGTCTGCCGCCCACTTTTTTGATTGATTGACACTTGCCGAATCAGCCAACCAAAATTACTTCCGTTGCTTGTTTTTCTACTATGCAAATTTTTCACGCGTGGGAAAAATGGAGACTGGCTGACGTAAAAAATAGCTTTTACCTGTTATTTTTTTCATCTAAGAATAAAACAGTCAGCACGATCACATTTAACTTCTTGCGAAATTAAGGGAGATCTCGAAGGTTATTTCTGTTGGCATAGAAGGGAAAAAGTTTTCAAAAAGACGGCGACACGATGTTCTACTAGATTTATTATTTTGGCTAGGCGCGCTCGAATTTAAAATACTGAAATTTCTATTTTTCCGTTGCCTTAATATTTTCCTCGGCAATTTCCCCCCGATTTTCAGTACATAAATCTTTGAAAACAAAAGCAAACAGCCAACGAGCGAGGACACCAGTTTTCATGGTTTATTTTTTACAAAAAGCTTAGGCAAACAACCAGTCTGTTAACACTGAAAATTCCTTGAACAGCGATGCGATATTTTTCGTCTAATACTTCACAGTTGGCGATTGAGGTTTCTTTCGCAGTGAGCCTCCGCTTGCGTACCCCGTTCAGAGAAGTCGTTCCCGGCTAAACTTTCAAATGAGACCAGTTTTAAGATGGACAGTATTTTGATTTGCACCCCGTTTGTTGGTATAAAATCAAAAGGCACCTTGTTAGCGGTCAACAACTTGCAGAGGGATTCAACTCCGCGATACACTCACTTTCCGTAAATAAAGCAAATCCTGAGAAGATATGAACAACCATATGAATTTTCTGAATTTTCATGGCACATAGTAAGGCATATTTTCCTACCATAAGACCATAAAACAATAAAAAAGACAGCAAAATCGATCCTTCTTTCCGCCGACGACGGATCATTCACGAAAACAACCACGCAAGGAATAAGCGCTTTCAACTTCCGGCGTTTCCGACAGCCAATCAGATCTTGTGGCATTGTTCTAACAGCCAATCAGTCTTACGGCCAAAATCTGGCCGTAACGAGCACAAACGTGAATGAGTTTGGATCAGGCCCAATTTTAGCGGTAGCCGTTAGAGAGAATTTATTAGAACCGCTAAAATTGGGCCTGATCTCAGGTTAAGTTCCAGTGGCTGATAAAATTGGTCTCCTACTCAGTTTAGCTTTGTGTGTCTTGGGAAGCCCATAAAGATGGGCCAGTCTTGAACTCTTCGGAGAAAGCAAAATGCCAATGTCTTCAGGCAGTATTTGATGCAGGATTGAGTGCACATCTTTCTCTTTCTGAAGGAGTGTGACAGTGTTTCGGTGGTCGTCCACGAAGGTTTGGGGGTTTGAAATCAACACGTGCAAATTTAGTAACATCATGGATTAAAGATGCGCTAACAAGACGGAGGTACTCAGATTTGTCCATGATTACAATTCCAGAACCTTTGTCAGGTTTGGTAACAACAATGTCCTCACGTTTCTTTAGGCGAGTGAGCGCTTCCACGAGGGCTTTAGGTGGAGAAGGGGTGTGCGCTGAATGTAATTCAAAGCGATTGAACGTAATGTTGAACTTGCCAACTTCTTATCATTAGGATCTTCCAAAAGTGGTTCGACTTTCCAATAGGCTTTCTCAAAGTTAGCTTTGATTTCAGATGGAGCGACTTTTTGAGGCACAGAAAATTTCAGTCCTCTGCAGATAACAAGCTTTTCGAAAAAAGAAAGACGATACGAAGACATGTTGTTAATATGTTCGTTCACATTAAACTCTTTGTTGACTTGTAACATATTTTTATATGTTACTTTCCTTTTAATGAACTCTTGTTTTTCTTTTATTTATATAACATTCATATTGTATTTCTATTCACTTGATAATGACGTCGAGTAACGTCGAAACGTCGTGTATTTTTTAACTTTTTTAAAATTTCTTAAACGTTTTTAAGAAACGTTTTTTCGCAATTTTTTACAGCTAAATGTCTTAAAAAGTAGCTTCTTCTCATTATAATTGGCACTAAAACCTGTTAGTCATTATTTAACAATTAATGAATGAGGTTGAGTATCATATGAAGCATTATGGAGATGGAGGGGGTGTTAACACCCTCTAGATCCCCATAATTCTTCATCTGATACGAAGGCCGAATTCAATAATTGTTTTATTATTCATTCAAAATAATTCCTAGCGTAAAAACATAACTAAACCATACTTACCTCCATCGATTTTAAGTTCATCTTCTATAGTGCACGTTTAGTGTTGCTCATCTCCGCAAATATTCTTCAAATAGCAGATGTCGCCCTTCGAGTTGTCTTCTTGCTGTCCTTGCCATGTTTTTAGCTATTATTTCGCCTAGTTCTTGCTCTTGAAACGAATGAAATGTCCGCCATTTTTAGCCAAGAGAACTCAACGCCGTCCCCAGGTCTTCTCGGATAACCGTGCATTAACCTGCAGGTGTGCTGCACTTTTGACGTCATCGGTTGATTAATCGCAAAATTCTTCCAAATTTGGTCATCAGTACCTGGCTATGGTGAATTATGCGTGTGCTTTTAGCCAATCAGAAACGGAGAAATATTTTGAATGAATAATAACTAGCAATTACTGAATGAGGCTGAGTAGGATATGAAGAATTATGCAGATCCAGGAGTTCATTAATTGCTTTGTTATTCATTCAAAATAATTCCTAGTTTAAAAACAAGCTACACTTATCTTCAATATTATATCCAATCAGAGACTTGTTATTCAATAACCGAATAATGGTGGTTTGTGGTCCACCTATTTTAAATGATTTTCGCTAAACCATCCAGTAGCTTTTGAGAAACGAAAAGACTACCGGTATATTAATTTCTTGCCGTGGTTTATGATAAAATACAATGTTAAGTCTGTAAATGTATTAACATTCGTCCTAAACGTTAGCCAAAATGTTAATCAAGTATGTAACATCAAAATTATTTGTTGGTTTATATAACTGTTCTGATCGTTCGTGCTTGTTCAAGAACATCCAACCCAAAAGTTGTAAACGTCTGCAGTTATTCATTTATATTTCTTACAATGATTACATTAATGTCATTGGAAAATATCGAGTTAATTCACAACTATCGCCCATCCAGAACTGAGAAAAATCGGTTTTGAAACGTAACTAAGAACGCGGTCTCAGAAAAACCGTTGACCGATCATGAGAGAAAACATCTTGAGGTATTCATCGCTGCTCATCTTTCCCCTTTTTCAGTGTATTTATATCCAATCAGAGGCTTGTGATTCAATAACCGAATAATGGCGGGTTGTGGTCGTCAGATCATATTTTAACTAATTTTCAATAATTTAGTCTATAGTCTTTTAGAAATTCCTTGCTGTGGTTTATGTTTATTGCGACGATCATCCTACTGCCGAAGCGTGAGTCAGAAATATGAAATGAAATTGCGTGGGTTTATCTTTTTCTCGTTCGGTTTTGTTTCCTTACATTTCCGTAGCTGCAGCATTTAAACTTCCCTTCATTGTTTAAGCGGGCAAGTTTCCGGTAGCTAAATTCCTTAACACAGCTCTGACTTGTAAAAGCAAATCTTGAGATAGCCGCATAAACATAACAACTTTCTTTACCAGCCATGTTTCGACGGTACATCCGTCATCTTCATTGTTACATATTTTCAAATCGCCCCTAAATTTAAATCTCGGGCGATGTTACAAAGTTCGTTACATTGCGTTGGCAATATTGCGTACTAAAAAGTTTAAATTAGTGACCCCTAGCTAATTACAGGGAGAGAGCCAGGTTTATGTATTTCACCTGCTGGTTGAGGTCGGGTTTCTCCCATTTTATGAACATAGATTCTTCCTTAAGCTTGAAATGGTCATTGGTAGCTATTGATATACGGCTTGTCAAAATCACGAATATTTTTAATGTGAAAGATACTGTCCGTGAGGGGCTTCGTACGCGTGTGGTTTATACATTTTCGTGTGCAAGACGGATTGTAATGCTTGTTATGTCGGTGAAACCAGCCGACATTTCTCCACACGAGTGCGTGAGCTCTTGCTTCCCGACAGGTCTTCGAACGTTTTTAGACATCTGCAGAGTTCAGAATTTTGTCGAGCATCCTGCACACCTTACTGCTTCGAGATCCGGGACTCTGCAGCTACTAAGTACCAAGTAAGACTTAAGTAAAGCGTAAGGAATCTATGTTAATATAATAGGAGAAACCTGACCTCAACCAGCAGATGAAACACATAGTCCTGGCTCTCTCCCTGTAAGTAGCTAAGCGTCACTAATTCAGTTAAACTTGTTAGTACACAATATTGCGAACGCAATGTAACGAACTTAAAAAATATGTAACACTGAAGATGACGGAGGTACCGTCGAAACATGTGTGGTAAACTAAGGAAAGTTGTTATGTTTATGCGGCTATCTATATTGCTGCTATCTAGACCTTTTGGATAAATCTTGAGATGTTTTTGTAATTTTGTG